ACATCTGATATATAGGGGAAGTAACAAAATTACTACTTATTCACGAAATGTAGATGGATCTGTCCGAAGGTATGTATAGGAGATTTTAAAGATTCTTAAACATGTCATACACGAGATTAAAGTGATGTGAATAAATTTACAAAGAGAAGCGGGTAAACGTAAGCTTCAACGGAAAATGCAAACAGAACGTAAAGAAGAAGAAAAAAAACGAAAAATGGAGGAGTTAAAGAGGATAAAAAATCTTAAGAAAAAAGAAATTTTCGATAAATTGCAGAAAATCAAGGAAATTACCGGAAATGAAAGTAAATATCTTCGAACTTTCTTTTTATCATTTCAATGTTGAGACATTTCACATTTCCCTCTCTTATTTTATTAAGATGTTGGTTTTGATGAGGTCGACTTGGAGGAAGATTTTGACCCGGATAAATACGATGAGAAAATGCATAAAGTCTTTGGAAATGATTATTACGATCAAGAAGTGAGTTTACATTTATTGTCAAACAAAACATGGCAAATTTTTAATTTTTAATTCTTACGAATCAAAGGAGGACAGCGAGAAACCGGAATGGGATGATGATATTGATATCGGAGATTTAGTTTCCGGCAATAATGTCATAAAAGCGATTGAAAATGATTATTCAGGAAATCAATATGATGATGATTTAATAATGGACGCTGACTACTTGCCTGGGGGAGAACGGTACGATGAAACTAAAGCCGATTTAAGTAAGTTTCGAAACTATTGTTCTTCTAAACATATGCTGCACGGAATTATGTTTTATTCATTTATGTATACTATATATAGCAAAGTCTGAAAAGAAAAAACTGGAAAAAGAGGAAAAAAAGAAAGCCAAGCGGAAATTTGATGAATATTTGGACGAGTACTATCAACTGGATTACGAAGATATCGTAAGTTGAAAGCGAAAAAAAATAATATGTTACAATAATGCGATATACAGTTATTAATAGCAAATATTTGAAATTTCTTGACAGATCGGAGATACTCCTGTACGCTTTAAATATCGACAAACTAAACCTCTTTCGTTCGGGTTAACACCAGCCGAAATGTTGATATCCGATGAAAAAGAATTGAACGAATACGTGTCCATAAAAAAATTAGCGCCGTGAGTGTTTAAAAATATTTTCACTTCAACCTACCTTGTAGACCACATCAATATTTATTGTCCTTTATGTTATTGTTCATTAAGATTCCGACCTGAACATTTGGTGGAAAATGATGTTAAAAAATATTCCAAAAAAAAGCGGCTTCAGCAATTTCGCAAAAAGCTCGAACTTTTAGAAGCCGATAATCCACCAGAGGACAAAGCATGGAGTATCAAAGCGATCAAACGCAAGAAGCAAGAAGCTCAGAATTTATCTGTAAAAAAGAAAAAAAATTTACAAGATGAACATGATACTTCCTCCAAAAGAAAAAAGAAGAAAAAATCACGTGAAGAAACTGTTGCTTGAGATTCCTTATTATTCTAAATTAAAAAAGATCTTTAATACAGAGTAAAAATGGTTTTTTTAATATAATTGAATAGCTTTTTAAAATGATATTCACCTGTAACATATATAGAAATTTAAATTAAGAAAAAAAAATTAAAAATGATTAAATTCTAAAAAATATATATTATACAACTATAAGAGTTTTACAAATGGATCTAAATTATCATAAATAAAATTATTTATTATAACAAAAAAAATTTTTAATAACGTAAAATTAATTTATTTTTAATGTATGGATAATTATATTAAAAGCAAATAGAAATTTTTGGATTTTTAAATATGATCTTAAATTTGTATTATATAGTATATAGGATGTTGCAAAAAAAAATTTTTTTATTTTATTTATAACTTAAAAATAAAAATTTTAAATATAATTAAATTAATATTAAAAATAATTTTACTTAAATATTATTTATCAATTTATTTTATTATTCTAATTTATTATTTTACTTTCATCAAAAATAATTTTACTTAAGATTATTTATTAATCTAATTATTCTGATTTAATATCAAAAATTTTTGGGAATTACTTTTTAATACTATTCAAGTTTTGTTTAAAACATATCAATTTTATGTATATTTATATATTTTGTTTTTTAAATAAAAAATTTAAAAAAGTAAATTAATAAAATTAAAATTAAACAAATATATAATAAAGTTTTAATTGAAACATTTAATTATATTTAATATTTATTTCAAATAAAATTTAAAAACTTAATGAATAAAAAAAAAAAACTCTTTTCTATATATAACTTTTTCCTTAAAAATTTCCCTTTATAGTAATTTCTCTTCAAAATTAAAGAATTATTATAAGAGTTTCAAAAAAACCAAAAAAATATATTGGTACATCAGAATAAAACCTCTAACTAAAGAAAAACAAGTTTGGAATTCTTGCTTTTTCTTTGAATTATATGAAGAAAGGCTCATGGCAGTTACTTCTTTATAAATCTTTTTTAAAGTTCTTTCTATTTTCTTTTTTTTTTAATACACAAATTTTTTTAATTAACTATATTTTCTGCTTGAAGGACTTGTTTTTATCTCAAAAAATCAGACTTTATATCAAAATTGTTTATATTATTAACTTGGTGCATCAACAATATATTCAATATTTACTTCTTACTATCATTTAGCAAACTTTACTATACTATCAAAAATTACAAAATCCTACTCAAAACACTATAATCAGTTTACTTCTGTCAATTAAATACTATCAAATTTTAAATCTATTTTGTATAATCAAAACAACACATATTGATCAATATAAATAAATTTTATTTTGACAATATCAATTAAAACAAGATTACATTACAAAAAAATAAATCAATAAATATATTAACAAAAATATTAATAATCACAATAACAATATATGGACCTGTGGGTCTATAGTGTAGTAGTTAACACTCCACAGGTCAAATCACAAGATACCAGTTCATGTGAGGGTGGTTAAATAGGAATTAATATAGTATCTGGTGCTATAACTTGTATAAGCACTGTTTCTCATAAGAAGCCATTTCACATGCTAATCCAAGTGGGTGTTGAGATTGTAATTTCCAGAAAAAGGCATTGTGGCATAACGATTGTCTGGTTGGTATTACGATGATTGCTGGAAGTTGCAAGAAGTATGAGGTGTCTGCTTTCAGTAAAGATGGCTTGGTGATTGTTTCCCTGTGATATCTGGTATCTCTTCCTACAGGATATCCGGAAAGGTTTTATTCCAATCCAGTAATAAATCACTACGACAGTTACTTATCTCAAGAAGGCAGCTCAATAGTAAGATCACTAGGTAACCTTGTGAATATCTAAATAGGCAATAAGCCTGGTGACATAAGTTCCTTTAAATTTCTCTTAATTTCACACAGTGTCAAATAGAATATCTAGTTATAACAATAGGATGTATTGCGGTAAGACTTGAGTCGACAACACATATATAGGTAGGCTGCACAATTAATAAATTAGAGTAAAACTTACTTGCAATACCAATATAACAATATATAATTTAAATAATATATTAATAATATTATTATCTATTCTGAATAGTAGTCTGTCTATTCTTGGAAGTAACATCCTACTTCAGTTGAATGAATCAACTA